TGCTTATTATGGGGCAGGCGTTGGGGCTCCCTGGCTCAACCTACCATTTGAGACATCCGCTTTCCATATTGGAGTGCCAGGTTCAAGCTCTGGCTACTCTGCCTCCAATGCAGCTTCCTGCTAATACAGACCCTTGGAGGCAGCAGGTGATGGCTAAGTACTTGGGCCCCTGCCACCTGTGTGGGAGACCTGGATGGAGTTCCTAGCTCCTGGCTTCAGTTTGGCCTGTTGTGGCATTTGAGGAGAGAACCAGCAGATTGAAGACTCTCTCTCTCTCTCTCCCTCTAAATATTTACCCATTTACTTGAAAGTCAGAGTTACACACAGAGAGAAGTAGAGGCAGAGAGAGAGAGAGGTCTTCCATCCAACGGTTCACTCCCCAGATGGCCACAATGGCCGGAGCTGCGCTGATCTGAAGCCAGGAGCCGGGAGCTTCCTCCGGGTCTCTCACACAGGTACAGGGGCCCAAGGACTCAGGCTGTCTTCCACTGCTTTCCTAGGCCATAGCAGAGAGTTGGATTGTAAGTGGAGCAGCTGGGACTTGAACTGGCACCCACATGGGATGCCGGCACTGCAGGTGGCGACTTTACCTGCTACGCCAAAGCGCCGGCCCCTAAACACACTCCTCTCTCTCTCTCTCTCTCGGCCACTCTGCCTTTCAAATAATTAATTAACTAATTTTTTAAAATATTTATTTTATTTATTTGAGAGAGAAGGAGAGGCAGAGAGAGTGACCGCAATGGCCAGAGCTGAGCTGATCTGAAGCCAGAAGCCAGCAGCTTCTTTCAGGTCTCCTATGCAGGTGCAGGGGCTCAAGGACTCAGGCCATCCTCTACTGCTTTTCCAAGCTATAGCAGAGAGCTGGATCAGAAGAGAAGCAGCCAGGACTTGACCTGGCACCCATATGAGATGCAGCCTGGTGCTTTAACCCGCTGTGCCATAGCACTGGCCCTTTAATTAACTAAGTTGAAAAACTCCTTTAAACAACCTCTCCCAACCTGGTCCATGTGCCTCTTTCCCCCCAGCCCTGCTCCACGCAGATCCCGCATGGTAAAAGCTGAGACATGCTCTGGAGGTGGGAGAAGTGGAAGCCTCCTCCTGGGGTGTTGGACAGGGAGGGGGCAGGCATGAAATTGGGTGGACAAAGCAGAATCTCTTGGCCGGCAGAGGGGAGCAGGCTGGCTTCCCAAGCAGCCTCTCTTCTCTTCTCACCGCACACCCTGCCTGGGTGAGCTCATCCAACCTCATGTCTTCAATTTCCACCTCATGAGGATGGCTGCCAGAGTCCTACCCGCAACCCCCAACCCCGCTCTGGGCTGCAGATCCAGACACCAATTGCCTAGTCAACATTCCCCTGTGGGGTCGGATCAGATAGGATTACATTCTGCTGTGAGTAACAGAGACCAAAATACAGTGACCCAGACAAAAGGGCTTTTTTCTCTTGCACTTAAAAGTCTAGAAATACCCAACACTGGGCTGGCACAGGACTACTGCTCCACGCTCAGTCTCCCTGAAGGTCACTCTTCTGTCTATCAGGTGTGTCCCTCAACTGCATGGTCCAAAGCAGGAATTAAGGCTCTGATCATCCCAACAACATCCTGGGCAGCAAAAAGGACAGGATGAGGGACGAGGGACCGTGGGCAGGGCAGGTACCCACCAGCCGTTTCAAGGAAGGTTCCTGGAAGATGCTACTGAACACTTGTTCTCACATCTCATTGGCCAGACTTAGGCACCTGGCCACCCCAGCAGCAAGGAAGGCTGGGAGATATGCATGCTCCAGCCCACCATCTCCCTCACACTGGACAGGACTGAAATGGAAAGTGTCATTGTCCCCTAGCACTTCCTTTTCCTTTGGTCTTGCTCCTTTTCTTCACCCCCACTTCTGTGGGCAGCAGAAGGGCACTTCTGTGGGCAGCAGCTGGCAGGGAGAGGTCTCATCCAAGCTAAACGAAGAGGGGGCGGACAGCATTGAGCTACGAAGCCAGACTCCCAAGGGTCTGAGACGAGAGACCCCAAACAGCACACACCCAAGTGCAGCGAGCGGTGTTGGGGGTTCCTGTGCCAAGGGCCAGATGCCTCTGGGGTAGGACGCCAGGGTAGGTCTGTAATTGAAAGCAGCAGGGACAAAGACGCCCGCCCTGCGTGAGGCCAGCTGCCGAACACGTTGAGTGCCTTCTGCCTCCTGCTCACTGTACCCTCCCTGCCTCTGCACTGTCGCTGCCACCTGCGATGCCCTTCCCGCTCCTCCGGGCGGCTCATGCTCATCAGATGACAGGGCTCAGCTCAGGAGTTGCCTCCCCCAGAAGGCTTCGTGATGTCCCTGCTGGGAAGGGCTGCAGATGGGGAGTGGGTTCAGGACAGAGTTCTCAGAGGTGGGTCCACTGCTGGTGCCGGTGCTGTTTGGGGCGGCTCGGCAGGAGGGTGGACCCCCAAGGCTTTCTTTCCACTAAGGAGGAGGCACCAGCTGGGGACAGAGCAGGGTCAGGAGGAGCCACCAAGGCTAGCCTGGAAGCCCTGGCCACCAGGCTCCTGTAGGCAGCTGGGAGGGGCTGGGCCTTGCAAACGCCCATTTCCAGGAGGAAAATGATACAGCCTGGTGGGCCACCGAGAGGAAGTTCAGCTGGGCGGAGCAGGCAGAGTAATTCCTGGAAGGAAGCTCACAGCTCAGGAATCTGCTAGAGGAACGCTGCTCTGGAAGTCTGTCCCAGGACTGGGCAGGCGGAGTGGGGGTGGGGGCGCGGGGGGTGCCCAGGTGCCCTGCCCCTCCCCAATCTCCTGCAGCCTGCAGGGCTCTTCTCTCTGAGCCTCGGCTGTCTCATCCGCAGAGGCAGGAGACAGAGGCCTTCCCTCGTGGGTGTGATAAGGGTGGCTGAGGTGGCAGGTGGAGGTCCCCAGCTGGCCCCCCAGCACACTGGGAGCTCCAGCAACGGTGAAGAAAGCCTGACTCAAACTCCCTTCCTTCCCAGGGAAGGCTGTGAACTCCCCCACCCTCCCCGCCGTGTGTACTGGAGGGTGGAGGGTGTACCCCAAGTTCTGGGGCAGGGCATTCAGCCAAGCGCGGGCAGGGGTGGGGAGAGGACTGTGAAGTCCCCTGCACAGCCCCTCCAGGCTGATCATCTTAGTTGGGGGACGGCAGAGCCTAAAATACCATCTCCCCTAAAACCACCTGCCACTCTGCCACGTCGGGCCAAGCCATGGGGCCAAGAAAGGGAAGATCTGTGCCTGCCTTCCAAACCCAGAGCCTCCTGGAAAGGCCCTACTGGAGGTGCCCAAGGCTAGGAGCGCTCCACGCAGCCCCAGCACCCCCCAACAGAGCCCAGGGGGCCCAAGGCAGGGAAGGCTGTCGACAAGCATGTCAGGGCTGGGGCCGCCCAGGTGGGATAAAGGTCAGGAAGCACAGAAAGGCATATTGTGTCCAGGGGCAGGGGATGGGGCTGGAGGTCACACTGGGAACAGGAGTCTGAGAGATCAGCCAAGGGCAGGCCTCGCCTTGGGTCACTTGGCTCTTCTGTGGGTCACATGGAGAGGTCAGCAGTGGTGAGGTGAGGGCACCAGACTGGCGCCTTTGAAAGTTCCCTCCAGTTGACAAGAGATGGCTTGGAGGCCCATGGCTGGAGTGAGGGTGGCCCCTGGGAGGGGCAGGTCCTGGACAAAGGCCATCCTTTCTTGTGCCCCTCACCCCCACCCTCAGGGAGAAGCAGGAGAGCCGTGAGGGCAGCGGCTGGAGGGAGATGCAAGGGTACAGTGAGGTGAAGGGCAAGGGCACTGCAGGGCCCACCTGAGCCCACCTGAGCCCACACCTCCTGATGATAACGGAATCAAATTTCCCCAAACATGGAAGGGGCACTCGCTGGGGTTACCTGATGTTCCCTGTGGAAGCTTCACGCACCCACCCCACCCCCAGCCCATGTGCTCACATAGCCAGAGCCGGACTAGGGACTCCTGCCACACTCACAGACACACACACACACACACGCGGCCATACTTACATCATCCACAGACACACAGCCACATACACACAGACATTCCACATGGACGTGGACACACGGACACAGATGTGCAGGTACACAGTCACAGACACACAAACACTGCACCACATGCACAGAGACACACACTCGGAGGCAGCAGGTGGAGACTGCTGACGGGACACCTCGCTGGCTTCCAGACAGGCATAGACATCCAGAACTGTTGGTGCAGGGCACCGCCCCCAGCCCCCACCTCATTAGGAAGACCCAGGGGCCATGGGCGTGAGTGTCCCAGCAGCAAGCCTACGGGAGGGGGCACTGTAGCAGGGGAACAATGGAGCAGGGAAAGTGGGTCCTGCAGAGGCTTGGGATAGGGGGGTACATGTGATGCCCCAACAATGGTAGGACTTGTCTGCTGGGGCTGGGGGCAGCCAGAGCCAATGGAAGGCATGTGAGGCACAGGACTGGGCCTAGCTCTGGCCAGATCCAGGAGCCGGTGGTGCCGGGCGTCCTAAGTCAGTCCCGTCAGGAGCTGCACCAGGGGCCTAGCACAACCAGATCTCTACTCTGCAAACCTGCTATCTTAGCAACCCAGGAGGGCCTAGGGGGAGACAAGAAAGAGTCGTGAGTCCCCACTGGAGAGGGGATGGGTGCTCCTTGTTGCTGAGGCAGGGTGAGCTTTTCCAGGTTCCCATGGGGTCAACGACAAGGCTAGGCCCAAAGCCCTGGACTCTGCCTCTTGCGTCTGATCATGGAAGAGCAGGCCAGGGAGACCGCGAAGGCAGGGGTATGGATCAAAGACCTGGGGGGTCTGCGGCGGGGTCCTCCCTCCCCAGTGGCTGAGCACTCACAGCTGCAGATGGCAAGGTGGGCAGTGGGGGCGGGGAGCTTCGCGCAGTCGGGCCGCAGGAGCCGCCGCCTAGGGTCTGGAATTCCTGGTCCCCTCCCTCCACCTCCCCCGCTGCCTTCTCCTACCGCCTGGGCTGCTCGCGGAGCGGGGGAGGCGCCGAGGCCTGGGCCGCGAGGCGCAGGAGGGGCGCAGGGAGGGGCCCGGGACGCGGGGCCAGGCTGGGCCCCTCAGTGGAGGCCCGCGCAGGCAGGCCCCGCCCCGGCCTCGCACATCTGGGCTGCGAGAGCGCGGCCATCCGGCCTGGGGGAGGGGGCGGCGGACGGGGTGGGCGGCGCGGGGCCCGGGCCGAGCGACCGACGCCGCGGGTCGGGCGCACGTCGAGGGCTGCGAAACGGAATCGAGGCTGTCGGACTGGCTCCAGCTGTCCGGAGAGCGGAGGTGGGTTCTGGGTCGGGGGGCGGCTAGGCTACCCGGGGACAGAAAAGCACGTAGGGGCTTCGGTGCTCGCTTGAAGGCTGAGAGCCCACCAAAAACCGGGGTCTGGCGGGGCCAGATGTGCAAGCCCCTCTCCGGCAAGGTCAGCGCGTGGAGCCCCGTCCTGGCTCTGAGACCCCCAAGCACGCTAGCCTGGGGGCTGAGGGCGGAGCTGCTGTGGGCTGGGGCCTGCTCCAGAGAGCCAGGGGTGGGGACCTGGGGTTCATTGTGCGCCTGTGTGTGGAGGTTGGGGTGCTCCTGAGACCCCAGGCCCTGCAGTTCAGGGGTGTCAGAGTGGCTGGGTGGCCAGGTGCCAGTGTCTCCACGCCTCTCTCTATGGAGCCAGCTTGGGTGGCCCAGCTTGGGGGTCCAGCTGGGGCGGGATCTGGACTCCCCTGTCCACCATGGAGCTGTCTGGGAAGGGAACTTGTGTGGGAGAGACGGAGCTTCTCCGAGGCCTCTGGGAGAGCAGATGCGGCAGGAGCATCCCTAGGTGAGGGAGTTGATGGGGGCCGGGGAGCAGGGTGTGGAGGGCGCAGGGCCCTGTGGGACAGAGGTTGTTTGTCAGCTTGCTGCTCCCACCACGGGGAGCCACAGGGGTGAGGCAGGATGTATGGAAAGCAAAGTGGAGAGCAGGGAGGGGCCATGAGAGGCCATTGCTATACCCCCGCCCCAGCACAAGGGAGGGCAGCCCCTCAGTCCACGGTCTGCTCTCCTCCAGGGCTCCTCTTCAGAGACAGGGTGGGGCAGCCCTTGGGTGCTGTTCCTGATCTGACCCCGGTTGGCCCAGTCTGTGACTTGGAAGAAACGCCTGTGGCCTCACAGCCTGATGACAGAGTCCTGCTCCATTAAAGGGCCAGCAGGGTGCTAAGCAGAGGGCAGTGGACAGGAGAGGCAGGGCCCCAGGGAGGAGGGAAGCCACAGAGATCGGGGTGGGCTCTTTGTCCTCACGAGCGAGGTGTGGAACCCCACACACCCACAGTGCTCTGGGAGGCAGAGTACCCTGCCTAAACACCCCGGGCCAGGGTGAAGTCTGTGCAGGGTTCTGTCCATCAGGCTGGCCTAGCCCCGTCCTAGGCACTGCAGGGTAGGAGTCTGGTTGTGAGTCCCTCCTCTGCCGCACCTGTCCTGGTTCCCAGTGACTGCGAAGCCATGTTTTTGGGTAGAAGTCAGGGCCAGGTGTCAGGGTGAAGCTGAAAAGCAAAGGTCAATATGAGGCCACAAGTTAAAGGTCAGTCCCTGGGCAGGGTTAAGGGTCAGTCTGCGGGTAGGGTGGGAGTCAGTCTAAGGCCAGAGTTTGGCATGCGCTTGCATAGCCAGGAACTGGCGTTACTTTCTCTGTAAATTGAACTGTCCCACCCAATTACCCTCAAACCCATAGGCCTCAACCCTCTGCAGTTAGGGACCCCAGCGGTGAGGGTCTGCCTCTCCCCATTTCCAGTGGTGGAGTTCGCTCAGACCTAGCTTTACGGACTGCAGGTAGCCCTGAGCCCCGCAGTCAGCATTCTCTTTTAGCCTGTCTGAGTATGTGTGCAAGGAGCGCAGGCAGCAAAGACACACTGGGCATGTGTGTGTTTGTGTGGCTGCCCCCTTCCGCCTCCGCCTCTCCGCCAATTGGTGCAGTCTTTCTCTTAAACACGGGTGGATTCAGCTCTGACCTCCCCCACCAAAGAGCTCAGGATGACTGGAATAAAATTCTCAATAGACCCAAAAACTTCTAACGAGAGAAAACTCAGATTCACATCTGCCCACACCTGCTCAACTTCCTGCCTTTATCGACACCCACCTTACCTGCACTTGGTCCTCACAAGCCCACTGTGTCACCCATCTTACAGGAAACAGCACTGATGCGAGGAAAGGTGACACGATGAGTTCATGCCGGGTGCTGTAACAGCCCTCGCCATCCCGAGAGCACAGCGTAGGGACACACAGTGAGAGGGAGCTTCAGAGAGCTGGGGCGGGGCTGGGCACAAGGCTGGACATGGACTCCAGGTCAGAGTGACTACTGAGTCTTTGTCCCAGCAGTTCTAGATGTTTCTCCAGGCACATAGCCTTGGTCCCGAAAATCCATTCACTCAACAGAGTAGTTCCCAGCATCTAGCAGTCTGGCATGAAGAAGAAATGCTCAATATGTGTTTACTAAAGAGTCAAAACAACATACAAAAGGCTTGCCAGCTCTTCCCTTGTGGCTTTGATCCAGCGCTACGCTGGGAAATGTTTTATACTCAAATTTTTTTTGACAGGCAGAGTTAGACAGAGAGAGAGAGAAAGGTCTTCCTTCTGTTGGTTCACCCCCCAAGTGGCCGCTGCAGCTGGTGTGCTGTGCCAATCCAAAGCCAGGAGCCAGATGCTTCCTCCTGGTCTCCCATGCGGGTGCAGGGCCCAAGCACCTGGGCCATCCTCCACTGCCTTCCCAGGCCACAGCAGAGAGCTGGCCTGGAAGAGGAGCAACCGGGACAGAATCCAGCGCCCCAACCGGGACTAGAACCCGGGGTGCAGGCGCCGCAGGCAGAGGATTAGCCTAGTGAGCCATGTTATACTCAACTTTCTGAGCAAGAGAAACTTGGCTTGTAGTGCTTACCAATTTCCGTGGCGTGACTCCCAAGCTGGGCTGATTTCATGCTACCAATGTGATGCCCCTGAATGCAGAATTGAGAAAAGAAATCAGAATCGGGGCCTGGCGCCGTGGCTCACTTGGTTAATCCTCTGCCTGAGGCACCAGCATCCCATATGGGCGCCAGGTTCTAGTCCCGGTTGCTCCTCTTCCAGTCCAGCTCTCTGCTGTGGCCTCGGAGTGCAGTGGAGGATGGCCCAAGTGCTTGGGCCCTGCACCCGCATGGGAGACCAGGAGAAGCACCTGGCTTCTGGCTTCGGATCGGCGCAGCGCTGGCTGTGGCGGCCACTTGCAGGGTGAACCAACAGAAGGAAGACCTTTCTCTCTGTCTCTCTCACTGTCTGTAACTCTACCTGTCAAATTAAAAAAAAAAAAAAAGAAAGAAAGAAAGAAAGAAAAAAAAAAAGAAATCAGAATCAGCTCTCGCAAGCTGGAGGGATCCAGCAGTACACCACTCCGTCACCCTGAGCGGGACCCCTGTCCTTGGCTCCCAAGATCCCCACCCCCCCCTATTTGCGTTCCCTTTTCTTGCACCACCCCTCTGCCATACAAGTGCCCACAGCCAGCTCCCATCCTTTCCCTGCCTCTTACACACACCAGTGGCATGTGTGTGGAAATCTCCATGGTGCTGGCCGTGGGTACATATAGAAGTATGTGGGAGTCTGTCCACAGTAGGCTGGCTTTGTGGGCACTGTGTGTGGGCAAGGGTGTGTGCCCGTGTGTGTGGGCGTGCCAGTGCCCAGCTCTGTGTCTGTGTTAGCAGAGCTTCCTGATTGGACACCTGCATACAGACAGGGAGGGGGCTCTGGGCAGCCAGACCCCCAGTGAGGACAATCACATGGAAGATTTGAAACCTGGCCGAGGGGGGCCGGCCCTGTGGCATAGTAGGCTAAGCCTCTGCCTGCAGTTCCGGCATCCCATATGGGTGCCAGTTCTAGTCCTGGCTGCTCCTTTTCCAACCTGGCTCTCTGCTATGGCCTGGGAAAGCAGTAGAACATGGCACAAGTGCTTGGGGCCATGTAATGCATGGGAGACCCGGAAGGAGCTCCTGGTTCCTGGCTTCAGATCAGCCCAACTCCGGCTGTTGCGGCCATCTGGGGAGTGAACCAACGGAAGGAAGACCTCTCTCTCTCTCTCTCTCTCTCACTGTCTGTAACTCTACCTGTCAAATAAATCTTAAAAAAAAAAAAAAACTGGCCAAGGAACACTGTTGAGGAGCACTTCTCAAACTTTAATGTGTACCCGAATTACTCAGGATCTTATAATTATATATATATATATTTTTTTTTTTTAATTTGAGAGACAGGCAGAGAAGCTTGCATCTGCTGGTTCACTCTCAAAACGCACGCAATGGCCAGGATTAGGTGAGACCAAAGCTGGGAGTCAATTCAGATTTCTCTCAAGGGTAGCAGGAACCTGACTTACTAGAACCATCACCCATTGTCTCCCAGGGGCTGCACCAGCAGGAAGCCCAAGCCAGGGACTGGGCATCTGTCCGAGGCACTCTGATGGGGACGTGGACATCTCAGTCATTAAGCTAGATGGCCAGCCCCTGGGAAGCTCCTCAGAATACAGGTTCTGATCCAGCAGGTCTGGGGTGGGGGCTGAGGTTCTGGGTCTCTAACAAGCCCCGAGGCAGTGCCCATGCTGCTGGTCTGGATACTTGGAGGATCCTGCCTCTAACCTAACCTCTAGAACGCCACAGACACAAGCTCAAGCTTGTGCCAGCTTAGAAAATAAAAACATCCTTTCTCCCCTCCCTCGAATTTTAGGTCTCACCAGCGCCCTACCCTCACATGTGTTCCCGATCTCAGCCAAGCTTCTCAGAAGTTCTAACTCCGTTCTCTCACCTCCTGCTCTCGCCTCACCTGGGCGCACCTGCCTTGGGCCATAAGAACAGGTGTTTCTAATGACATCTAAGGACCTCCTAAAGGCAACTAACTTCGTCCCTCCTCTTAGCACGGCCTTCGTGAAATCTCGGAAAGGACTCCGTCTCTTGGCCAGCCCGACGTGCCCTGTTTAGGCTGTACATATAGATTCTCCTCCCCTCCCCTGCTTCCCTCTACTCTGCCAAACCTCCCAGGACAATAACTTGCAAAAGCGCGTCTCCAGCTCAGCTCAGATTTCTCCCTGACCTCCCGATCGTAGGTCATCTGGCTGTTGGCTCTGTTTTCCTAGCTGCTCAAACCCACACCCAAGTCCCTGCCCCTGGCAGCCCACTCCTTCTCCAGCATCCTCCATCTCCCCACCCAACTCCTCCTCCTAGCGTCAGCCAGACAGTACCACCCTAGACACCTCCTCACCCCCACACCTGCCAGCCACCTCTGTCTCGAATGTCTCCACTTGTGTCTCAAGGCGTCCAGCCTCCAGCATCAGCTGTCGCCTGGAAGACTGGTGGCCTCACTGGGCTCCTGCTTCCAAATTGCCCGTCTGCATGCCCCTCCCAAAGAGCCCAGATAGTCATGCCCTGTCCCCGGCCACTTCACACCTTTCCCGATTTGCTGTTGCCCTTCAGATAAAACCAGAAGTCAGATGCCTCCAGCGTGAGTCCCAGCCCAGCCGCGCTCTCAGGCCCCACCAGGGCTGGGTCACTGATGTCCCCCCTGCTCCTGGCCCAGGGAAGACACCAGAGGAGGATCTTGATTCCAGCAGGGCAAAGCCAGTTTTGAGACAAGCTGGGCCTGTGGGACCGAGCTTCCGATGAGATTAAGGAATTGCTCTTCGTTTTGTCAGACGTGATAATGGTGTTGTGATGACTTTTTCAAAATGTCGTTTTCTCTTATTGAGACAGATGTATTGAAGATTTTATAGGTGAAACAACATGATGTCTGGGATTTGCTTCAAAAGACTCCAGCTGAAAGTAAATAAATAAGCATTCAGGGAGGGAACAAAGGGACAAATAAATCCCATTCTGCTTGCCTGTTCCTGTTGACAGCTCCAGGGCTGCAAGGATGCTGGCTGTCCCAGAGCTGGGCCTGCAGGGGCTGTACATAGGTAAGACCCACAAGACTGTGAACGTGAGCCTGCATGTATGTGCACAAGGAGGGTCCGTGTGCATAGTCCTCTGTGCGTGTGTGTGTGTGTATGTAATGTGCACAGAAACTTGTGTGGGTATGTGTGAGTGTGTGTGTGTGCCCAGAACAAATCTGTTCACAGACTGTGTGCTGGGAGGGTCTGAGCATGCAGTACTGAATGTGTTTTGTGCAGGGTGTGTGTGCACAGGACCCCATGTGAGTGTGTGTGTGCATGGGGTGAATCTGCTCACAGGACCCTCTGTATTTGGGTATGTGTGTGTTTATGTGTGTGTGTACACACGAAGAGGGTCTGTATAAATCTGTTGTGTGCACAGGACTCTGTGTTGGGGAGGGGCTCTGTGTGCAGGGCTCTGTGTACACAGGACCACTTGCGTGTACGTGTGTTGTGTTGCTTTGGATCATTTGTGTGTGTTCTGTGTGTCCAGGGTAGGTCTCCGTGCATGGGACCCGCGTTTGAGTGTGGAATCTGTGTGGGTCCTGTGGGCCTGCCTCTGGCTTTTGTGCGGGGGCGGGAGGCCGCAGGCAGGAGGGACACTCCTCAGGAAGTCCATTCACAAAGACCTGGCGGGCTGGGCCCTTCCTTCCTGCCTCCCTTCCCAGGCTCCAGCCACAGCTACTTGGCCTCTCGGGCTGGAACTGGTGATAGGGCTGGAGCAAGCACTGAGCCCTCAGAATGTGAGCACCGTCCCAGCCCCGTCCAGGCACTTCCCCTCACCATAGCCAGCCCCTCACGCATGTCCCCAGCTTACCCCAAGATCACGGAGGGCTGGGATCTGTCCAGGGAGCCAGGGGAGCAGAAGTCCACGGATCACCATACCAGATCCCACTCCTCATCCCTGGCCAGCCTCCCTGCGCCGACCCGTGTGTCTCAGGGCAGCCCCAATAGCCCTTGCCTGACCCCTATCAGAGCTCAGGGGTGGCGACCAGCCACCAGCCCAACCCTGTGGGTGTCCAGCCAGGCAGGCCCCTCCCATCCATGAGCTAGCTGCCCGATCCTCCAAGCCAGGCCTGGAGCCACTCGCCTCCCTCCCTCCAAATTTCCAGCCTGGTGCTGATTGGCCAGGGGCTGTCAGTGGGACCTCCCACCTCTAAATGCTGGCTTGGGGTGTGTGTGTGTGGGGGGTGGGTGGGCTATCAGGGCCTAGCTCACAGTTGGGCTGGAGAGACGTGCTACCCCCACCTTGGTCCTCCCCAGGCCACAGCCCTTGTGCAGTGGGGGAGGGGCGCTCCCTCAAGTCCTGATTAGAACCATGTGGGCCAACTTCAGGGTGGAGGGAAGCTGCCACACCTCTGGGCCAGCTGCCCCTCCCAGCCAGTTAGAGCTGTAGTCCCCCTCCTTTTCTGGCTTTGCTACCCTACTCCCTAACCCCAGGGGCCCACCCATCCCAACTCCACAGCCCTCTCTGCACTCTGCCTCTCCACTGCTGTGTCAGAGGGGTGCTGGGGAGACAGTGAGTCCCCAGGTGATGCATGGGAAAGGCTGCTCTTCCCCTGACCTGTCCTCTTGACCTAGTCCAACAAGGGCTAATGGGGGACCCCCCAGTGCCAGGCCTGGGGCCTCTCTGCCAGTCCCCACCACAACTCTGCTGGGATGACCTGCCCTCTCTTCACTGCAGGTTCCAGCCCAGAGCGGTCCCCGGTCCCCAGCCCACCTGGCTCACCAAGGACCCAGGAAAGCTGTGGCATTGCCCCCCTCACACCCTCACAGTCTCCTGTAAGCCCGTGGCGGGGATCTGGGGTGGGGGGGAGGTAGGAGACATGGGTGGTACAGAGGAGGGGGTGCCTGGCAGGGCCTTGAGTGAGAAGGAGGAGGGGACAGGAGCTGCCATTGTGCCTTCTGCCCCCGCACACTGCAGTCACATGGCCCCCAGAGGGCTAGCCTTGGACAGCAGAATGAGGCAGCCTGTTCTGACTCCTGGCTCTCCCTGTCTCGGGGTGCAGGTACGCTTCTGAGTGTGAGTTTTCCAGAGCCTCACTGTATTGGGTACGCTCTGTTGCTACCCTTCCTGTCAGCCCCACCTAGATCCACATGGTATCTGGGGGAGAGGAGACACATTGCTAAAAAAAAAAAAAAAAAAAAAAAGAAGAAGAAGAAGTTGGAAACTTTCAGCTTGAAGTCTCCAGGACATAACCTGTCCACCCCCGGGCTCCCTGAGTCACCCCTCCCTGGACGGTGTCCCTGGTTCTCAGGGAGCCCAGACCTGGCCTGCGAAAAGGCAGGGGCCACTCTGGGGTCATGCATGGGGCCTCTCTGTCACTAAACCGGGCAGAGTCTGGTGGCCACAAAGAACAAGCGGGTGAAATGCACACAAGCTTGTGTGCTGTAAAGCTTCCCGGAGAAGCAAAATTACTCCCAGCTGGGCCCGGGCTGGTGGCAGGCTGTGAAAATGGTGTGAGCTGGGGGTGGGGCTGAGGCAGGCCAGGCAGAAGACAGGCAGGGAGCTGGACAGGAGCAGCTTGAGCTGAAATGGCACTGGGCTGCCTGAGAGGCCGCTGGCTTTCTGGACACTGGGCATGAACAGGGCTCAGCTTGAAGCCTGGGAGGGAAGGGAAGCCCAAGCAGGTGGACAGGGGCGGGTGGGCCAGGCTGGGCTGGCCAGTCGAGGGCAAGGGCTCCCACATGCACTTGGCCTGGCCCTGCTGGCTGCTGGCTGACTCTGGATCTTGAACTTGCAGAAGCCAGAGACCCGTGCCCCGCAGCCGCCCCCCTTCTCGGTGGTGGTGGCCATCGACTTCGGCACCACATCCAGCGGCTATGCCTTCAGCTTTGCCAGCGACCCTGAGGCCATCCACATGATGAGGTGACAGCAGCTGGGCTGGGAGCTTGGGGGAGGGGTCTTCACACCGGGGGTCAGGCCTGGTCCCAGAAGGGCTGTTCTGAGACATGGGGGTCTCCTCAGAACCCCTCCCACCCCTAGTCTGGGGCTGAAGTCTGGAGGATGAGCCACAGGCCCAACAGCTCCCAGCCCTCTGCGAGCAATGTTGGGTTTTGCGTTTAATTTGTGAAGTTATTGAGATACAAAAAAACATACAGTGAAATACAGAAGTCTTTTTCTGGGCTTGTAGAAAAACCATGCACATCTGTGCATGTGTATGTGGTATTTTTTTAAGATTTATTTATTTTATTTGAAAAGCAGAGTTACAGAGAGGTAGAAGAGAGAGAGAGAGAGAGAGAGGTCTTCCATGCACTGATTCACTCCCTAGATGGCTGCAATGGCCAGAGCTGTGCGGATCCGAAGCCAGGGGCCAGGAGCTTCCTCTGAGTCTCCCACATGGGCCCAATCACTTGGGCCATCCTCTACTGCTTTCCTAAGCCATAGCAGAGAGCTGGATCGGAAGTTGAGCAGTGGGGACTCGAACCGGTGGTCATATGGGATGCTGGCACTGCAGGTGGCCCTGTGTGCATGTGTTTTTAACATACAAATGGGCTGACGTACGACTTGCTTCAACTTAAACTTTTCACCCTATCCTGTAGCCCTTTCCTGCCTGCACAACACAACGCTATCACTTTCCAACAATTACTTAGCATTTCCAAAGTACACATGTGTCGTAATTCAGCCACTCCCCTACTGGTAGTTTGAGGGGATTCACCCCCACCTCCCCACTTCTCGTTTTTCACTATCACCCAACATGCTGTTTCTTTGAAAACGTGTGCTGGGATCTCTGTGGAGTAAATTTCTAGAGGTGATTCTGGGCCGACGTCTCGGATGAAAAGTAAGGAAATGAAGGCGGAGGGGTAACTGAGTTGACAAGCCACGCAGCTGTCACGAGAGAGATGTGTGGAAAGTCTTGGTGCTGGGCTTTGTTTGAACCGAGTATGTGTCTGAACACACCCCCACGGATCATCCAGTAGGTGGAGCTAGAGAGGGCTTCAAAACTCAACCAGACTGGGGTGGGAGATTGGATAGAAAAGGTAGCGGAGACAGACAGAGGAGCCAATCCCCCAGAGACAGGAGGACCTGAGCTTCGCGCGCCCTGGCAGTCGGTCGGTCCCCTCTCTCTGTCCCCAGACGGCACAGGAGGGAGCTGCAGGGCATCCCAGCTGCATGCTCATCACACACGGCTGAGGCCTTGCCAGGCCCCTGCTGGGACTGAGGACAGTCACAGACATCCCAGCCCTCTCCCAAGCCCACCTTTCCCACCCTCACTGGCCCCCACGCCCCATCATCTCTGTGTCTCCCTGCCAGCTCTGGAATCCCCTGCCTCTTCTCTGCTGCCCAAGTTCAGCGCCTGGACCGTGGCGCATGCTCCGCCCTGCTTTACCTTCATCCTCCCTCCCCTCTGCCGATGTTGCCAGGGGACCAGCAACCTTGCCTTCTAAAAGCAGATACAGCCATGCCTCTGACTCCCCAACTTGGAATCCAAGGAGAACTGTGGTAAGGCATTCAATGCCTAGCCAGCCCTGGCATTCCTGCATTTCTCCTGCTGTTCATTGCAACCAATTGGCTCTGTCCACCCCACCCCCTTCACACCACGATGCTTTTGCCCGTGCTCTTCCTGCTGCCTGGAGTCCCAGTGTCCGAGAGTCCTGTGTCCCGAGACTCCTGTGTCCTGGAGTCCCAGTGTTCAGAGAAGGAAGAAGGGAGGATTTGCCAGGGAGCTGGGCAGGGTTGCGGGTGGGGCCCAGACCCCCTGTTGACAGCCAGGTTGACAATCTCATTGGGCTTTTGGGCCAGTGGGTCAGATTAAGGTCAAGGTGGTCACAAAAGGTGGGAGAGACCCAGGCAAAAGTATCAAGCTTGCTGCTGCTCTTAAGGGTGCAGGGAGGTGGGGTCCAGTGGTGTGCGTACCTCTTGGGGGACATGAGGCTCGAGAGAGAGGTCAGATGGGACCAGTGGCCACAGATGGGAAGAATGGGTGGCATTTATAAAGCAGGTAGCAGGCACCAGCTTCCCTTGTTTGCCTTCACGGGAACCCCAAGGAGGCTGTGACCTGCCCAAGGTCGCACAGCCAGCCCTAGAGCCAGCACCCAACCCCGCTGACTGCGTGGACCACTCTGTGCCCTGGCAGGAAATGGGAGGGTGGGGACCCCGGCGTGGCCCACCAGAAGACCCCGACCTGCCTGCTGCTGACCCCAGAGGGCGCCTTTCACAGCTTCGGCTACACCGCCCGCGATTACTACCACGACCTGGACCCGGAGGAGGCGCGGGACTGGCTCTACTTCGAGAAGTTTAAGATGAAGATCCACAGCGCCACTGTGAGCCACGATCCGGCTCCGGGCAGGGCTCCCCAGGGTGGCGGGCCCGGGATGGGAAAGGGCAGGGGCGCGGCTGAATGCGGAGGCAGGGCCTGGTGAAGGCGTGGCTGAGAGGGGCGGGGCACGAGGGAGAATGTGGGCGGGGCCCAGAGGGGGTGGGGCTAGGGTGGCAGGACTGGGGTTAGGATGGGTTAGAGGAGGGGTGGAGCTAAGGAGAGGGGCGGGGCCCAGCGGCGGCGGGCGGGGCTAGGGTGGCAGGACTCAGGGTGAGGATGGGTTAGAGGAGTGGACCTAAGGAGAGGGGCAGAGGCTGGGGCTAACGAGGCGGGGAAACTCCGAAACGGGATGACTTAAGCAGAGGTTATCAGGAGGTAGGGGCGGAACTACGGCCTCCTTCAGAGCCGTCCCCGTTCCTGCCAGGATCTCACCTTGAAGACTCAGCTGGAGGCGGTGAACGGAAGGAAGATGCCCGCCCTGGAGGTGTTCGCCCACGCCCTGCGCTTCTTCAAGGAGCATGCCCTTCAGGTGCCTGCGGCCGCTCCCTGCCCACTGGAGGGCCCCCAGGCCTCTCTGGTCTCTGCCTTGCCCCTCAAATACCTCCCCCCCACCATCCATCCCATGGGCAGCCACCACCAGAGGCCAGAGGTCATCTTCCCCTTTCCCTGCCTTCCTGTCCGGTAGAGCCTGCCCCAGGTTTGGGGGTGGAATTCTTCTAGCTGACCTGAGAAGTCCTTTCTGGGGTTTGAGTGGTTCTTCCAGCTTCCACAGCAGACAGACCCCCAGCCCCAGCCCGCTGATGTCCTCACCGCGCCCTCCTGCCCCAGGAGCTGCGGGAGCAGTGTCCGTCGCTGCCAGAGAAGGATGCTGTGCGTTGGGTGCTCACGGTGCCTGCCATCTGGAAACAGCCCGCCAAGCAGTTCATGCGGGAGGCCGCCTATCTGGTGAGGACGTGTGGGTGGAGTCACTGCTCGGGGAGGCCCCGGGAATGGTCGCCACCATTCACCCCCACTCCTGGGGTCGCAGCAGCGTTGTGTGAAGACTTCTAGCCTTCCCTTAAATTATCACCACCAGGAGAGGGAGAGGGGGTGCAGGGCAGGGGACAGGAGGCACAGCCTGGGCCAATGTAGGGAATGTCTTTTATTTATTTGAAAGAGAAAAGGGGAAAGAGAGAAAGAGAGAATCTTCCATCCACTGGTGCACTCCCCAAATGGCCACAACAGCCAGGGCTGGGCCAGGTTGAAGCCAGGAGCCTGGAACTCCATCCCGGCCTCCCACATGGATGCAGGGCCCAAGCACTTGGTCCATCTTCTGCTGTTTTCCCGGATGTAGCTGGGTCAGAAGTGGAGCAACCAGAACTCGAGCAGGCACTCATATGGGATGTTGGTGTTGTAGCCAGGCTGCAGCTTAACCTGCTGTGCCACCACAGGCAGTGTCTTAAGTCAGGTTCCCTGGAAGCCGAGCCCACGGTGGAGAGTCGTGTGGCATGGTCTGTTGAAGAAGGGCTCTCTGGAGTGAGGAGAGGGAGGAGCAGCAGGACAGGAGAGCACTCAGCAAGGATGTGGTTGCGGCTAAGGTCTGACCTCAGCCTGGTCCCATGGGGCAGTTTTGCAGAACTATAGCAGGGGGTTGGCCACAGGGAGGCAAGCTCCATAGATCAGTCTGTCATTGGAGGTGGGGGTTGGGGAGCAGGAGGGAACCTTGTTTGGCTCCCATTCAGCCCGAGGCAGTTGTCCAGAGGAGGGGGCAGCTGTGAACCAGTGGCAGCAGACGTGGCAGTGGGCGGGGCACCCAGGACACAGACTTCACTGGCAGCAGTATTTCAGGGACCCCACCCATGCCCCAACCATTGTAGGTCCTTGAGCCGGGGAGACAGGGCTATGAAAGTGTGGAAGTCTTCCTACCAGAAGCGTGCCCAAGAGTCTAGAGGAAGAGGGATGGGGGCTGGGGCACTACTTGGCCACTGGGGTCAGGGAGGAAACACAATCTCGCAGAGCAAGACTCCCTGCTTTCCTAACGCTGGGGCCTAGGACACCCAGAGGCATCCCAGGCCTGCCCTTGGACCCCCTGGAAGATATCTGGACCCACAGTCCCCCCACAGGCATGACCTGAGTCAGGTCTGTAGGTGCCTACACTAAGCACCACGGGCATCCCCCGGCAGGGATCAGGAGGAAAGCAAGGCCTTCCCCAGCCAGAGAAAACACCCCCACCCCCATTGTAGTGCCCCCCCACCTGTTTACTTGCCTTGCTTCCTCCCATACTGTTCCCTGGCTGTCAGCTTAGAGAGGGCTGGCACTGGGCAGGAAGTCGCCATCCCCACCCAGTGCCCCCTCCCCTACCCGTGCAGAATCCAGGGAACCCCACAAAACCGTCAAGTACTTCCCACAGGGAACCCCTGCCCTGACGCAGGAAATGACGCAGGTCCCAAATGTTTTCTCCCTACAACTGGCCTGCCTTGGTGCCTGGAATTTCACTGTTTCCTTCCTGCCATATCAGATTCCCTGAGAACAAAGCCCTCCTGGGAGTGGGGCGGCCTGTGGCCACTGTCTGACACCAGCCCAGCCTGGTGAGCCCCATGAGGCTCCACCATCTCCTCTGGCGCTCTGCACCCCCACACTGTGAGATCTCTGCTGACTCCCCCGCCAGCCAGCACACAGCTGGCCAGCCCTGCCGCTGGGAGCGAGGCCCTTGCTGCAGCTCTGTCTCTTCCTACTGGGCAGCTCCTTGGCATCCTTGGCCATGGTCATGGCCCTTCCCAGTCCAGTCACAGGGTAGCTGGGAAGCAGCTCCAAATCTGTGCAGCATGGCTGGCGCCGCGGCTCACTAGGCTAATCCTCCGCCTTGCGGTGCCGGCACACCGGGTTCTAGTCCCGGTTGGGGCGCCGGATTCTGTTCCGGTTGTCCCTCTTCCAGTCCAGCTCTCTGCTGTGGCCCGGGAGTGCAGTGGAGGATGGCCCAAGTGCTTGGGCCCTGCACCCGCATGGGAGACCAGGAGAAGCACCTGGCTCCTGGCTTCGGATCAGCGCGATGCACCGGCTGCAGCGCGCCAGCCATGGCGGCCATTGGAGGGTGAACCAACAGCAAAGGAAGACCTTTCTCTCTGTCTCTCTCTCTCTCACTGTCCACTCTGCCTGTCAAAAAAAAAAAAAAAAATCTGTGCAGCATGAAAGGACCTGAGAGGCCTAGTGTGAGAGGAGTGTTATGGGGCAGGTGGGAGCCTCTCAGCCCCAGAACCCCGTCCTGGGGTGCCATCTTGGGTCTGACAGCCTGTGGTGCTGCCTGCTCTGTCCACCCACCCATCCCCAGGCCGGTCTGGTGTCTCGGGAAGATGCAGAACAACTACTCATCGCCCTGGAACCCGAGGCTGCCTCGGTCTACTGCCGCAAGCTGCGTCTGCACCAGCTCATGGACCTGAGCAGCCGGGCCCCAGGCGGCGGGCGCCTGGGTGAGCGCCGCTCCATTGACTCCAGCTTCCGGCAGGGTGAGCCGCGCCCGGGCACTGCCCAGCGCTGGGCTGGGAGGCAGTCGCCCTTGGAGGGTCAGGGGGCTACTGGGGCAGGGGCTCAGCCACGTCCAGAATGAAGGCAGGGGAGCTCCTACCCTGGGGGAGCCCAATTTGAGGGAAAGGCACAGATCTGGGGGCAGAGGGTGTGGGGGTGGGGTGAGACAACAGCCCTGACCTTGGGGAGCCTGAAGGGACACAGTCTGAGGACAGGACTCAGCCTGGCCCCAACTGGGAGTGACGGGTGGCAAAGCTACCCTGGAGGAAGGTGCTTGGGTACCAACAAAGTGGGAAGCCAGCCCCCATGCTGGGCCCAAGGGAGGAGGGTCTTCAGGAGCTTTCTCTTAAAGAGCCACCACATCACCTGCCCCCGCTCCATGGTCTCCCCCACTTTAGCCTCTAACCCCATCAGCCCAAGTTCCTGCTACCAGAATCAGACACTGAGCTCAAAGAGAGCTGTGGGCAACCTTGGTCACCCTCCCAGATGCCTCCCCCATGCCAGGATCCTAAGTTCCATAGGATCCCCACCCAGACCTCCCCCAGCAGCTCCTCCAAATCCTCCCAGGCGTGATGTTGCCATGGCCTGGGCCCTCCTGGGTTAAGGGAAGGCCCTGTGTCCAGCAATACTTGCCCCAGCTGGTGGATGCAGTGTCTAGGATTACTCCATTGGGTTTCTCTGCTCCCTCTTGGGTCAGCATCAGCCTCTCCCATTTAGGAGCAGGGACCTCCAGATGTCCTTGGGAGGCCTTGAGGGAGCATGGAGTTTGACTCTGGTGGCCTCTAATCTCACTCTCCTGCTGACCCTTGACCCCCAGCACGGGAGCAACTGCGAAGATCCCGCCACAGCCGCACGTTCCTGGTGGAGTCGGGAGTTGGAGAGCTGTGGGCAGAGATGCAAGCAGGTGTGGGGTGGGGAATGGAGAGATTTTTCTCGGTCCCTTTCTCCTCCATTGGCTGTACCTAAGCTGGTCGTCCCCTACGGCCACTTGCATGCTCGCAGCTGCGCTCCTCGCTCCCCTTCTGCAGCAGTTCTTCCCAGACGCACGGGTGCTGGGACCCACACACCCTGCGCCCCTAATCTAGCACCCTGCGGTTCCAACGCCTGCGACCCCTCATATCTCTCAGCAGGCAGGGCTCGGGACAAGGGGCGAGGGTGGAGGTTAGGCGGGGCTGGAGGGGCAGAGGCAGTCCGCGCGAGTGTGTGCCCGCGCTCGCCACCGCAGGAGACCGCTACGTGGTGGCAGACTGCGGGGGAGGCACTGTGGACCTCACCGTGCACCAGCTGGAGCAGCCCCATGGCACCCTCAAGGAGCTGTACAAAGCGTCTGGTGAGTAGCCGGACACCAGCAGCCTCGTCCTCGCCCAGGCCCCTGGAGGCCCCGGGGGCGCTGACGCCGGCTCCACCCCCTGCCGCATCCCAGGAGGCCCCTACGGCGCGGTGGGCGTGGACCTGGCCTTCGAGCAGCTGCTCTGCCGCATCTTCGGCGAGGACTTCATCGCTACCTTCAAACGGCAGCGGCCCGCAGCCTGGGTGGATCTGACCATCGCCTTCGAGGCCCGCAAACGCACGGCGGGGCCGCACCGCGCTGGGGCGCTCAATATCTCGCTGCCTTTCTCCTTCATCGACTTCTACCGCAAGCAGCGAGGCCACAACGTGGAGACGGCCCTGCGCAGGAGCAGGTGGGCCTGGGGCCCGCGCGCAGGCGGGACTTGCTAAGAAGGGTCCCAGGGGAGCGGTGGGGTCCAAGCACACACCGTGCCCACTGGGGCGGCAGGGGAGAGGCCTGAGTTCCCAGCAGGGCAGACTTCACTAGGGGAAATCCACAGCCCGAACTGAGACGAGGGGTCAGATCCCCGGCCTTGGGAAAGGGCCGATGGCTGTCTACCAGCTTCTCCCTCGCCCAACACCTGCGCCCGCACTCGGTGCTCCTTGGCTCCTGCACACAGAGGCAGAGATGCCCCATCCTGAGGACCTCCTGCCCGGAACTGGAGCCGCTGGGCAGCTAAAGCCCTCCCCCCACCCCCCACAATGAAGTAGAGGACAAGAGGCAGCGTCCAGCTGGTCCAGCCAGGCAGGGGCAGGGAATGAGGACCCGACTCCAAGCTGGGGCAGGCAGCTGGATCCTGACCCCTAGACCTGTGCCCCCTTCACCCCTACAGCGTGAACTTCGTGAAGTGGTCCTCGCAGGGGATGCTCCGGATGTCCTGTGAGGCCATGAACGAGCTCTTCCAGCCCACAGTCAGCGGCATCATCCAGCACATAGGTGAGCGCCTGAGCTCAGGTCCCCGTTCCCCTGCAGACACCCTGAGGTGCGGGTGCTGGGAGCCCGCACTCACCCATCCTCAGGCGTGAGACCCAGGAGGTGCACAGGGTCTGGTTAGGAGGGGTGATGTGCGGTCCTGCCGGGCTAAAGAACCTCTGACGCCTCATTTTCCCCACTCACAGAATGGGGTGGTAGCACTGGGTTCCCCAAAACCTTGAGCCTTCGAAGTGTACAGAGCAGGCAGGCTGCCTCTGGGCGTGTGTATGCTTGTGTGCAAGTGCCAGTTCTCAACCCGCGGCCTCCGGGTAGGGGGTTTCAGTGCCGGGGAGGCAGAGGCCAGGAGCTTTTTCAGTGAAAGTGCTCTCGCTTTTCTTTACAGAACCTAATTCAAATGGATCTTTAGTTAGTTGCCGGGAGGGTGCAGGTGGGGGGAGGGGAGGCGCCAGCGGTCGGAAAAGTAATGGCCTCGTCGGTTTTTCTCCTTCTCCCCTCCCTCCCCGCTCCCCGCCGGGCCTCGTCCGGTCCCGCAGAGGCGCTGCTGGCGCGGCCGGAGGTGCAGGGCGTGAAGTTGCTGTTCCTGGTGGGCGGCTTCGCCGAGTCGGCCGTGCTGCAACAGGCGGTGCAGGCGTCGCTGGGCGCCCGCGGTCTGCGTGTCGTGGTCCCGCACGACGTGGGCCTCACCATCCTCAAGGGCGCTGTGCTCTTCGGCCAGGCGCCGGGCGTGGTGCGGGTCCGCCGCTCACCCCTCACCTACGGCGTGGGCGTGCTCAACCGCTTCGTGGCAGGGCGCCACCCGCCAGACAAGCTGCTGGTTCGCGACGGCCGCCGCTGGTGCACCGACGTCTTCGAACGCTTCGTGGCCGCCGAGCAGTCGGTGGCGCTGGGCGAGGAGGTGCGGCGCAGCTACTGCCCCGCGCGCCCGGGGCAGCGGCGCGTGCTCATCAACCTGTACTGCTGCGCTGCCGAGGACGCGCACTTCATCACCGACCCGGGCGTGCGCAAGTGCGGCGCGCTCAGCCTCGAGCTCGAGCCCGCCGACAGCGGCTCGGACGGCGCAACCCCGGGCCGCCGCGAGATCCGAGCCGCCATGCAGTTCGGGGACACGGAGATTAAGGTCACCGCCGTCGACGTCAGCACCAATCGCTCGGTGCGCGCCGCCATCGACTTCCTTTCCAACTGAGGACGCGCCGGCACGGTCTGGGTCCCAGCTCCAGCCCGCCCTCCCTTGGCCCCGGGGCCTGGGTTATGGGGCGGGGCGGAGGAACATTTGTTCCCAGCATCCCTTTCCCCGCCCTCTAGCCCCGCGGAGATGAACTCAAGGGGGAGGGGGGCACATCCAGAGACTTGGCTTTGGGACTGGGCTCTGGCCCACCAAGTGGAAGGCTGAAGGCGTCCCCAACCCCCACCCGCCGAGGACCCTGGGGGCAGAGAGACTTAGAATCGGCTCCCAGCCTGGCAGGGGACATGTGGCCTGGAGACGAGCCAGGCCTGAACTTTGGGGTGGGGAGAAGGGAAAGGACGCAGGCTGCGGGAGATGCCCAGGAGGGAGGCGGTGAGGGGCCGAGGTCACTAATGGATCCGCTCAGCGCCCGCAGGGGAGCTGGGGGAGAGCAACCCTGACCCATGGCAGACAGTAGAGGGACCGGTGCAGAAGCCCCGGTCAGGGTGTGGTGCTGACCACACCACTGTGACGGTTCCTGTGGGAAGGGCGATAGCTGCAGGGAGGAAGGTACACTTTGATGAAGGCAGTTATGAGGGGATGGGGGTCTTTCCTTCCAGACGTCACCCATCTGGGAGGGTCCCAAGGACAACCCAGCCAGGGAAGTGCAGTCGGGAGTGGGTAGGGAGACAGAGCTGATTCTAGCCTTAGGAGTCCCTGACCACCACAGGCCTTGACGGTGGGCAAGCGTGAAATGTCAGGCCCCAGCCCCACGGCCAGAGAGCCCTAAGGTGACAATAAAACATTTATGCTCAAGGGAAGCCAAGCCTTCTGGAGCCCACCCTGGAGTGGGATAGGGCACAGGTGCTAGAAAGGGAGAGCTTCCCCAGGGGCACAGGGCAGGGAGGTGGCCGGAGCTGGTCAGGCGTCCCAGACACCCCTGCCCCCAACTCCCCAAGGCCTCTCTCTGGCCAGGAAGGAGGCCCCTCTCCACCCAAGTGAATCCTCTTGAGGCCTTTCCCAGGCGGGGGGCTGGAGCACTACCCAGCACCCCTGTCCTCCCAGAACCATCTTTGAAGGACTGGGCAGTGTCAGGACCCCAAGAATGAAAAGCCCACGGGGCCTCTGGTAGCCACTGGAAATTTTATTTCTTTAGGGTTCTTTCCCAACCAGTCATTTAAAAACCAAAGAACACAGACCCGAGGGGTGAGGGTTGGAGACTGCCCCTCCCTCGTCCTCACCATGGACAGCAGCGGGGAAGAAGGAGGGGCGGAGGTGGCTGAAGCGAGAGCAGCAGCAGCAGTGGGGCCATGTCCCAGAGCCAGCTCCGTCCTCTCTCGGACCCCTGCTGGAGGCCCCATGGCTTGGGGTGGGGGGTGGGTAGAACCCACCCCAGGCCCCCCACTCCCCTCCTCAGATAGCCTCCTTGAGGACTCAACCCTTTTCTTCTGGCAGGAGACTGAGGCACACGGAGAGGAGGAAGCGGGAGAGGACCTCGGAGAGGCAGGGTGGTGGTGGCACAAATGAAGGCAGAGGTGCGAGGCGTGGGCAAGGCCCCTGGAAACCCCACCCCCACGCCCACCCTGGGGAGGGGCACGCAGCATGTGGGGGAGAGGCGGGGGTTAAGGCTGAGGGGCCCCGAGGGGGTGGGGCCAAAGGCCTCAGTCGAAGCCATGCCAGTCACTGTGCTCCGAGTCGTACTCCAGCTCAGCGCCCACGCACTTGACGCCGTCCAGCAGCATGGGCGTGCCGTGGTGCCGGTCTGCAAGGCAGGGGGTGGGGGTCGAGCCGTGCCGTGCTGCATCCCTGACCACTCCCAGGGGACCCTTCCCCTCCCTCAGGGACAGGCGGGCAGGAGGAGGAGGGGAAGGCACCCGCCAAGGAGTTTGAGAGCCCTGAGCCATGCAAGGATCCCTCGCTCAGACACCTCCGGGATTAGGGCAGAAAGCCCTGCAGCCAAGCTGCGGCGGGGGGGGGGGGGGGGGTCCCAGCCGGGGCTCTCACCCATGACTCGTGCCTGCACCGTCACGCGCACGCAGGCGCCGGCACCACCTTCGCAGGCCAGCAGCATCTCCTCTTTGAGCACGCCCTCCTTGTGTGCAGAGTACTCACACTTGACGCTGTAACCTGCCCGGGGGCACGGGGCAGGCGATCAGCACCTGACCTCCCGGCCTGCTCCCAGGCACTGCAATGCACACGGAGGAGCATTCAGGAAATGCCCTGTCCTTCCACGAGCTGCACAGGCCTGCGGGCCACCCCAGTGTGGCTCCAAGAGCGCTCCAGCTTCCAAGAGAAGGCTCTTTAATTCCCCCGCAAGGGAAGGCAGGGAGAAGGGGTGGTGGGGAAGAGGAGGGGTGGCAGGGTGGGCTTTGAGCACGTCAGGCAGCAAGAGGCTAGGGCTGAGGGGGCTCGCTCAATCCGCTGAAGGGCAGGTCACAAGGTAGGGGGTGGGGTAGGGCTGCGAAACAAGCTGGGCCCTGAGAACCTGACACCCTAGCTGCTACCAAGTTGGGGATGAGGGATGGGCGGGGCCTGCAGCCAGCCAGCCAGGTAGGTTGGGAGAAGCAGCCTGAGACCCAGGGCCCAGGCAGGACTGGGGGGCGCTAGGTTAGCCACCCGTGGTTCTCGCAGCTCCAGCAGGTTTTCTCTTGAGGGGCAGGCGGGAGGGAGAGCTGCAGGCCCCAAGCCACGTCCCCAGTGGCTCCCATCTTAGTCACCTGCTCACTGAGGTTCTAGCAGGCAACGGGCACACGCAGGCCTGCCGTGTGAGCTCATGGGCTTCTGTCCAGGAGGGGGCCTGAGACATGGGAGCTGCCAGGCGACCACACTGCAAGCTCACGGAGGGGACACGTCCCTGACTCGCTGGGCTGAGTGTCACCCGAGTCCTCTCACTCACTCCCACTCGCATCCAGCACCCCGAAGAGGAGACGCACCTTCAGGGACGGGCATGACACTGAGGAGCTTGAGGTGCAGGCTGGGCACAGGTGCCTCGCGGACGTCCTTGCTCAGCCTGTGCACAGGGGGCAGAGTGAAGGTAATCTCATACCTGTGCAGGATCTTCAGGAAGCCGACCTGCAGCAGGAGGGGCGAGGAAGGGAGGCGCCTTAACTCACTGCTTCTTCCAGGGTCCGACCAGGTCCCGCAGCCTGCGCACCTTCTAGGCCTCAGCACGGCTGCCCTGGGGAGCCCAGGAGCCTACCTCCTTCCACTGCTCCAGCTGAACCACACCCCCAGCCCCACAATGCCAGATCTTGGACACGACGCGGCCAGCGTCCTCCATGCCATTTGTCTTGCAGGCCCTGCAGTCCTCAGTAAGTCATTTTACAGGTGAAAAAAATGGAAGCCAGGGCCACACGGCATGGCCAGGGTAAAGTCCTCCCTAGACCTCCTGGCCACTCCTGCCATGCATGGCACACAGCAAGGCACCAGCCACCGCTCAGAATCTGTGACACAGGCCATCCATCTGCCTGGTCAGGGAAGCTGATCCTCCAGTCAGTCACTCAGGCGGCGACGCCAGGCAGCGCAGCACAGGACAGCGGATGCGACGGAATTGGCTGAAAAAGGTACTAGAGCAGCTGTGTCAGTCCACCACTGAACCAGGCTCCTGCCTGCCCGATGGCACCTGATCACGCATGTCCGTGTGCCCACTCGGAGGCTCACGGGGCCCAGCAGCCTCCACTCAAGGTCTAAGTGATTTCTGTTGTTCGCATACAGTGCTTGGCAACCAGTGCCTTCTGCAACAGATGCCGTCTTTGGAAACTCCAGCGATGTGAAGGGTTGCAAGCTGGGTGGCTGCTGAGCAGGCTGCCTGCCAGGAGGGCCAGTCCGGCAGGCACAGGCATGCATGCAGTGCCTGCCCCAGCTCTGGTGGGCACAGACTCCCACCCACAGTGACTGGGGCAGCACAGCCCTACCCCTGAGGGCCAGCTGGGAATGGCTGCATGGAACTGCCAGCCTGTCACCGCATGATAAACCTCAATCCAGGTACCCCTCCCACCCCCTTTCTGGCTGCACCTGCCATCCATGACCCTGTGACCACTGGACCACTTGCAAAATTTTCCAGGGGGGCCGGCGCTGTGGCTCACTAGGCTAATCCTCCACCTAGTGGTGCCGGCACACCGGGTTCTAATCCCGGTCAGGGCGCCGGATTCTGTCCCGGTTGCCCCTCTTCCAGGTCAGCTCTCTGCTGTGGCCAGGGAGTGCAGTGGAGGATGGCCCAAGTACTTGGGCCCTGCACCCCATGAGAGACCAGGATAAGTACCTGGCTCCTGCCATCGGATCAGCGCGGTGCGCCGGCTGCAGCTCACCGGCCGCAGCAGCCACTGGAGGGTGAACCAGTGGCAAAGGAAGACCTTTCTCTCTGTCTCTCTCTCTCACTGTCCACTCTGCCTGTCAAAAAAATAAAAAATAAAAAAAAATTTTTCCAGGGGAATTACTCAGAGATGTGCAAAAAAAAAAAAAAAAAACCTCAACACTGACTGCCCTATTTATAACAGTGAAAAAACAGAAACACCCGTAACACCCAGGCATGGGGAACCAGCTAAGTCAATGAAGATATGCATAATGGAACACCAGGCAGTTGTAAAATCTTGTGGAAAATTATTCACTGACACAGACAAAAAAAAAAAAAAACTCAGCTTGTCCACTGTGCTACCAGCTCTCTGTTTTTGAACACCAAGTTTTTAAAAACACTTGGAATGACACACATCAAAATATTAATCCTAGTTATTTCTGGATAGTATGACTGTGGATTCTTTTAAATCTCTTTATATTTTTCTCTATCTTCTGATTTTTCTTTAATAGACATGATGGATTTTGCAATGGGGGAGGGAGCTATTTTTAAAGACTTTGGTTTTTCTTCTGTTCATTCCCTTGGGGAGGTTGTCAGCTATAGGAGAAAGAGTCAAATGGCTACAGACCTGAGCCTTTCTCAGCAGGGCAGCAAGCCCCTCCTTGGGTCAGTGTCCAGTGGAGGAGACCTCTGTCCCCCGCGTACAGGGCACTGCTGCTCAACTCTGCACCCATGGTTTACAGGCCAACCTAGAGGCCTCAATCCCAAGCTTCCCCAGTACAGTCCCTCCAGAGACCCCTCCCACCCCTTCCAAGTGCCCGTGGGGTCGGGTAGCACCCTGGCAGTTGGAGGAGCCAGCTGCAGAGGCTGCAGGGAGTGTGAGGTGTGGCCACAAGAAGAGGGGGCTCCAGCAAGCAGGAGACGTGGGGTGACACATCACCGCCAAGAGCCCACATCAGCCGGAGAGCTGGCAGAGCAGGATAACAAAAGCCACACCTGCTGTCACAGTAATTAGCTTCACACCTGAATCACATGCCCAGGTTCCTCCACCCTCCCACCAAATCTGTGGGTGTGAACTGTCTCCATGGGGAAGAGGAACAGGTAACCCCCTCCAGGACGTGGGCTTGAGCGGGTACGAAGGTCTGTGTGCTGCAGGCTGGGTCCCCAGTGTGGGGCTGTGGAGGGCTGGCAGCTTTAAGAGGTGGGGGCTGGGGGCAGGATAATTAGGTCACAGGGCCTCCATCCTGGAAGGGACTGACGCCAGGCTCTCAGAGTGGATTAGCCCCTCCCTCCCTGAGAGCCTAATTATAAAAACAGCAGGCCCAGCCCCAAGGCTTCAGCTTCTAGTCTTGCCTTGGGCTCTCTCCTCTTGCTTGCGCTTGGGGTGACACTGCCCTCTGAGGCCGCCTGTGTGGTGACCTGGCCGGAAGGCCCTCACCAGAGCTGCACAGGCATCAGCTTCATGCCCTTGGATCTCCCATACTACAAGTTATGCAGACCTCAGGTATCTTGTGGCAGTAACAGAAAACA